GCCCTGAAGCTAACCTCACATCAGATAAATGGTCTAAATTAGCTAGTTTTGTTGTGATACAGTAAGCATTTATAGCAGTTCATTACAAAGTGGAACCAGATACAAACAAACAATTCCTACATAATGAGCTGAATCTATTGTATTAGTGTTAATAATAGATTTTATTTTTATATGACTGCCAGTGGTTTTGTATTTTTGCAGACCATTGTGACTGCAGGTTAAGGCTGGACCTCTGCAGCTGGTATGACACAACAGATAATCTGGCTGCAAGCAGGTAAAACCGGCAGGTCAAAGTAGGAGAGCTGAGGAGAAAACTGGAAACAGGTGTGTGAGTGTGAGAGGAAGGTCAGGTAACTGAAAAGTAAAGAGTATGGCAGATAGTTAATGCTCACAAACAAAGATTTTTTTTAAAATAAAGTCTAACACAGTAGTACTGATTGATAATTTTGTGGTTATTAATATTTAAACCAATGTGATCTGATTGTCTCAATCATACCTTACAAGTAGTGCAACATGTTAGAGGCCAGTTCTTATAAACTGCATATAGCTAATATTTTATATCAATTATTATTGTTATCTTGTTTTGTTGTTGTCTTATGCAGTGAACTCTGGTAAAGTTCAGTGTGTTGAATATTGTATCTGCGAATGCTAATTTGTAAAAAGGTCGTGTGCTGCCATCTTGCCAGGGCTCCCCTGAGAATGAGACATTAAACCTCACTGGGACTTACCTTGGTAAAAACCAAGATTAAATAAAAATTTAAATAAAATACATATCTGGTTTAAGAGAAAATGAGCAGTGTTTATGATCAGTAAACTCAATAGTGATGCCAATGTCTTTTTGGATGGCTCTGACTTGAAATCAAGTTTTCTTAATTTGGGCTATGAAATAGTTCTTGTCTTTTGTTCAATGTAAAAAAAAAAGTCTATAGAATTCAGTTTGAGCATCCTAAAAGCATCCCGTGCTGCCCATTTTCCAAAGGACATATATTAATTTAACTAATTAAAAGTTTTTTTTTTTTTTGGGCAGCACGGTGGCACAGTGGTTAGCACCGTTGCCTCACAGCAAGAAGGCTCCGGGTTCAGACCCCACGCGGGACCTTTCTGTGTGGATTTTGTATGTTCTCCCTGTGCTTGTGTGGGTTCTCTCCAGGTACTCCGGCCTCCTCCCACAGTCCAAAGACATGCACCAACTTACAGTTTGCTTTATACCTTTCATGTTTGGGAAAACACAAAAAATGTTCCTGAGGATTATTATTCAGAGATTTGAACCTTCATGTCAATCAGTAAAAATGATGTGAAAAACAATGAAAAACAATATTTACTGAACCCAGAACTTTATTAAACTTTTAAGATGAAAATGCATGTTGTAACTGAAACATGAATTGTGACAGTAATAACCAAATGACAACCAGTTCCCATCACCGATATGAATCATTACATATAAAAAAAAAAAGCAGGCACAAACAGCTGTTGTATTATGACAGTGCAACGAACTGCTGGATGATGGCACCATTGTGTATGAATGATTGTGATGAAGAACAGATTAAAAATGGACTAGAATGAAGACATTCAGGTGGATAACATCAGCCTACTGTATATAACTAGTAGAGCTGGCAAGACAATTAACCTTTGAAAATCATGAGAAACATGATCAGGAATTTAGAAATGTTGTAATTGGCAGGTAATTTTTCTTGTATCTGGTCAAATATCTCCAATCACCATGCGTTATGTGTACCTAGAAAATCTTATGGTTGAAACTATGACATCATATCTGTCTGAACAACAGCTGTGCCTACAACTCGCATGACTCATTAACTATCACATTGTTCATTCCGCATACCAGAGACAACCTGAAAGTTAAACTGTTAATATCAACGTAGCAAAGAACTGTCATGGACTCCTTATGAGACTTCTATCTATAGTCAATTTACACTCTTCTCATATTAACAGCTTTTACAATAAATAATACTCTAATACAAACAGGAACCTGAATGCCCGACCCCTGTGTACAATACATGCATAAACACACAAAATCCAGATTAACATCATTATAATTTCTTAAAAAAATATATTTGACTTGACCTTAGATTATAATCCTCCACATTTTAAGTAGCAAGATACCATATATTAATATATAAGATAAAGTAAATAATCAAATTCATGTTGACTTATTGTCTCTCTTTAATCAGCAAATAAAACCTGCCCTGTTAATTATCAATATACATGTAAACCAGTCTTTGATAACAGTACAGTCAGTAATACGCAATTAAATGTGCCAAAGAATGGGAGAGCATTTCTATGGAAGCTCAGTATATGAGTTAAATGATGTTTACCCATTATTTGGCCCCAAAGAGGTGGTGTCAGGCCATGCCATCATAAATCTTTAAAGGCCCACAATAAGTAACACCATTTTCCAGACCTACTGTAGCCTACCCTTAACACAAAGCATCCCTGGATCCTATCCTCCCTCAAGCAAAGAGCAGATATGTAGTTTGATACATAGCATTTGCATTGTATTTGCTAAGTGGCTGGTCCAACTGGCTGGTAATGGCAATCACCTCTGAGAGCAGGGTCTGCTCAAATGACACTGTTCTACCAAGATTGTCTAACAAATGCAGACAATTAACAATTCCAGTGAGTCTGTAACTATATTATCACAAACACCAATACAAGTTCTGTGTGGGTGTAGGACTGAAGGCAAGTCTACATGGTCATCAGGTGGGCACCTCCTCACTAACTGGTGTTTTGTTGAGTTGGGCCCATGACACCGAGAAGGCTCAACAGTGTGTTCCGCCAACCTCCCCCCTCTTTGCCTGTACCGACACACCCAAAATGACACTTCATCTACTCAGGCTAATTCAGGCTAACTGTTACCAAGCAGTCACTCCAAGAAGGCTGGGATGTGCTTAAACCAAAACCACCATGCCCATGCTGTGCCTGCCCTACAGTATCCTGATGTTTAAGAGCTGCCTGAGCCTGCGACACTGCCTCCTTCGGGTTCCACTTCCTCCCTGCTGAGACTGTTGGTTTTGCACTCTGCACTGCTACATCTCTGGTTTCTGACAGCATTATCTCCAGTCTAGCCTTAGTTAAACTGGTTATAGGGAGCTCCAAAATCCCTCCCTGAGTGAGGAGTGAGGAGCTCTCAGCCACTTTCTATTGTACATGCTAAACATTCTCTCTAGGTTCTCTACCTTAGAAATTGTAACATCACACGCTGTCAGTGGCCATAACAATACCGTATGAAATGCTTTATCTGCCTAAACACACCATGCCAAACAAAGAAATCAGTTTATATTACTAATTCATCTAGGCTGTAGCAAGTCTGTCTGTATCACTTCAAAACAGTAACACCTTTATCACAGTAAATCAGTGCTCCTCTTCTGTGTACAAATCCCTCGTGGTGCCACTTGTAGCTACATTAACGTGATGTTATCCTTGTCACTGTTTTCCACCAATACATTACACAACTACAAAAAATAGGTCATCAGGTAACGTCTTGAACTTTATATTAGCATGTTTGCCTGAGCAAAGTTAAACCCAGAAATAGAAAACAAACTGACTGAAAATTGAAACAAAACAAATTAGACAGCTAGCCTTTTAAAACCTCGACGTGTATTACAACAGTGTCCCCACGGCCTAGTTATAAAGGAACACACTGACATTAAAAATATGTTTGCTGTTTCCAGTCAGGTAACACAGCCATTATCAGTTCGATCTCTGTGCTCAGTGCAGGGACCCAGGACCTGCTTGGTCTGGCATAGCACAAAGACTGAATGCAAGGTAAACTGCGAGCCAAGAGATAAAATGGCTCTTGTTTACATGTTTTGTCTCGTTATCTAGTTTGCTAACCATTAATACATTCAAAAGTCACCTGTGTTTTGGTCAGATGAAAGAACATCCAGTATCTGCATTTGGTAACGTCACCATGAGGACAGCACTACAACTGGCGTTTGTTGGTCGATTGCTTTCATATGCAAGCCAACTGCATGTGAAACCACTACGTTTTGTTTTTGGCTTCTGCACATAATAAATACAGATGATACAATGTGTACTTTACACAGCTTCAGAGCTTCTCTTTGACTCTGCTAGTCTTGATGTTCTCCCTGCTTCCAGTCTTTGAGCTAAACTAAACAGGCTAAACACTTTGTAAGAAAGCAATCAGTGTATTTACCAAAAGGCCTAAGTATTGCATTAAACCCAATAATTCATGAAAACAGGTCAAATGTAAACCACATGATGTTACCTTTGACAAACTACAGTGTACAATTGTAGACAAACTTGATTATATGCTGAGGCAACGCTTACATGCATGATTGAAAAAGAAAAGCAAAGCTCTTCCACATGACAGCTTTAAACTGTCTTTTAAAATGTCATGTGTAGGCAGTGAAATGAAACTGTATTTGCTCCCCATTACCATACAATAATACTAAACTTGTAAATGCCCTCTAGTACAAACGTCATTGAGAAGATCCAGTGTAAAATTCTATGACACTATGGCTTTTGGCTACAAATCCAGCTGGGCACCTGGATGGTGACCAGTTTTGCAGACAATGAATCCAAGTTTTCATTTTCTCAGACTATATAAACAGCAATAGAATACAAAGTGCTGTGCTGCCTGAATACTGCAGCACAAGCTAAAAACACCCCCGTCACTTTATCCTAGGGGCTAGACTTTTAAATCACAACTAGATCCTTAACACCGGTATGAAAACACCAACATTTTCTCATATTTCTAAATAAGATCTCATAGGATCTTACATCTGGATCTCTACAGACACACTAACTGAGGACACATTGTTACTTGAATGTAACAAACAATGGAAGTTTCACAGAAACCAGCTAATGGGTACCTAACATTTCTGTGTGGGTTACAATAAATCCCTGATTGCAAGTCAGGCATTTTTACCACACACAAAACATCAGATGCTTTACATATCAGGCCTGAAGTCGTTTTTCAGAGAAAACAACCCCACAAATTATGTTTTCTTCATGACAAATTCAAGCCTGAACAACTCAGAACATTACTGTTGGGTCTTCAAAACGCCCTGCCGGGCGGATTTGCCTCTTCGTCAGTCGCTACTAGGCTGAATACCCCTGAGAACAGAGAAAATATTAGTTGGTGAGCAGAGGTCTGTGGATAGTCATTTGAAATATAGGTACCTCAATACATTGAATTGATTCATGTAGGAATGTTAATACTGCAGTAGAAGCCAATAGCAGTGCAGACAGTTTCTTTCGAAGTGGAACAGAAACTTGTTAGTCCCAGCTTTTGAGGAATATAAAAAAAATAAATCCGTAATTAAGAGAAATAAAACTAAATGTTTACTAGTAGCTCAGTTAGTTTGTACTGTTCTTTACACACTAGTAAAAACGAGTGGTTTTTCTTTGGTCCTTACCAAAATATGGATTTGGGGGCAAAACGGTTGACTTTGGTGTCAAGGAAGAAACAGTATGTTGTCAGAGGGGGTTATCTACTGTACAGTGGCCAGTGTAGTGTATGAGAATCATCTTGTGAGGCTCAGTTCTGTGTTGTCACCCATACTTCAACCTTCAGTCTGTGCTGTGCTTTGAGAGGCTCAGCTCAGTTTTTATTTGGGTGTAATGCTATATTATATATTTGAGTTAAAATGCTATATTATATATATGTATACATATATATATAAGTACAATTGAAGTTGACAGAAATCCAGCCATCAGGTTTAAAATGCAAATTGTCATGAGATGTGTTGAACAAATGGAAACGTTAACCTGTAATCAGCTGTTCCATCCTCTAGGTTGTGTCTAATGCTTGCAAACTTTTTGTTGGCACGACTTTCACTCAGGAGCAAAATGTTCCAGAGACATTTGTTCCCTAAAGGTAAATGCTAGCTTAGCATGTCCTGACAGCTGGTACATCTAAAAATAGACCAGTCAGCAAAGTGAAGTGGCTCTGCTGTTCAACCAGACTGGGAGTCTACCTAACTTCATTATACAGAGCTTGGCAACCTCTGCCAGAATATTTCTGAGTGTGACACTTCAAAAGCATGCTGGCTTACTTAACAGTACATTTCCATAGCATACTCTAAAAAAAAAAAACAACTACACCAGGGAACAGGGAGGGGCCAGACCTCTCAGTTTGCAAATAGACACTAACTACATTGTATTTACTAAGTTCACACTGGCTCATTATTTGTTCCTGCTCTACACTCCACAGCACTGCCCCGCCAAACAGCTGAACTACAGAGCAGGGACACCTGTGCTCGATGCCTTCAGTACTATCCCCTTGTTACAACTGTTAGTGGACTGTGAGCAAGCAGCCAGACTATAGAGCTGTGCAGCTGCTTCCGAGCAGTGTGTTGGCCTTAATTCACTGAAAGATATCTTGTAGTAGGTGTGGGTGGTTGCTACTGCCTCTGTAAAGAGTCTGTAGCTGTCCAATAACAAATGAACACATGCTCACATCTTATTCGACATTATTTTCTCAAAGTAGCATTCAAACAGTTCTAATGCTGTAACATGTAAGAAGACCCAGTTTCCAATCATTACTGTTTAAAACATAATGATTTGATGTTTCTAATGTTATGCTGTTTTGCATGCAACATGGCAAGAGACCAAAATCTTAGTTATTCAGAGACATGTACCATGGTGTGGAGGTAGCTACCCATCTGCAGCAGACACTCCAGGGTCTCCATCATCTGTTCTTGATGGAGGGCCTGGAGTCGGGTGAGACTGGGGGAATTACTGGCTTCCACCTCACGTACTGTGGCCTGCAGAGCCACCGAAGCACACTGCAGGACACTCATTCCTGAGAATACACAAACATTTGGATTACTGGGATGTCACAAAAATACAAACTTCCAGCATACACCAGAGATGTCTACAAGGTCTTCTGTATTTGATTTGCACAGTACAAGTTTGTGAGCAGTACATTTTCCATTGCAGCTTCCTCAAGCTCAACAATAAGAACACTTCAGCAGGCGCTATGTACCACCAGATAATGTTGTATTGCTTCACTACCATCTCCAATAACAGGCTTTCTACAGCATGCTACTAAAAATGAATCTTACATATTATAATGTCCATCTGTAGTCTTATTACGTCTCGCGTATCGGCTACATGAGATGGAAGTGTTCTGACAATGTCCTTAATGAAAAGGTCAACATACTGACTTAATGACTTTGATAGTGAATTATTCCCAGAAACAATCAGTGGATTACAAAATCTTTTATGAAAAACCAGTGTGGCAGGATGTTTCATTCAACACTGTTAATGGTCTAATCAGCATGTTGTGTCTTTCTGACATGAATATTGTTACTCAGTTGGATTAGATGGTAGCAATTTGTTAAATGTCTTGTTATTTAATTGTCTCTCAGCTTCAGCCACATAATCTGTTCCGTTGAGCCATACAATAGCCCCTCCTTTTCCAGCTCTTAATTTTATTTCCTTGGTCACTCGTCTTGCTGGCCAGTAGGTGTTATTGATAAGTGTCCTGTCTACATTTGGTATGATGTGTTTTGTCTTTGGTTTGACACCTCTTATTCCTAATATAGAGGTTCTCTGAGGTGCAGTCGTTGGTGTAGAGGTAAAACAGCAGCGGGGAGAGTACACATCCCTGGGGGGCATCTGTTCTGATAGTCCAGGTGTTGGATGTGGTTTTCCCCAGCCTCACCAGTACAAATGCTGGGTGCCACTGTGTTGTGATACTCTGGCTTTCATTACACATACTTCTAATTATATGATACAATGCAATGTTTTTATTTTATTTTTAAAAAGTTTCACTGATACTTCTTTAGCAAACAATTATTATTGTCAATATGTGGTAATAAAGTGATACCTCAGTCCAAACCCAGATCTAAAGGAGCTTTGACAGTGTTGTCCCCAAACTTTGGAACAGGTTACTTTACTGTAGTTTGTTAGAATGGTTGACTCAGTTCATATTTTTAAATTTCAAACTTTTTTAGAACTTGGCATTTTTGCAGTCATTCATTTTACTACAGTTACAGTATATTGTTAGCCTCTTTTTTCTATTGTGATGTTTTACACTATGTGTTTTTACTTTTTAAATTTATTCCAGTTATATCATACTATGTGAACCAATTACTGCGTAACTGAGCAACAACATCCTATTCTAATTGTTAAGTACTTTGCTCTGGAAAAGAGCTCCATGTATATAACAAGAGCTGATGATTATTAAAATTCTGGGGCAACAAAGATTTGAAAGGTCACAGTACATACCATAGTTATCAACAGCTTCAACGTCAACATAGACACCATCCATCATTGTGTGTTTCAGAACCTAAAAGAAAACGAGTGATGGTTAAATAAATATGTTCACGCACATATGTATGTATGAACCAACATCATCATAGCTTAGACAGACACATCTGTGAAGATCTCTTTTTGTGTTGTTCCATTGCAAAAAACAAACAAGCAAAAACCTTTGAAAATATCAAAAGATTGGTGATTGCAACAGTTTTCTGTGAGAAGTGATCTGACAGACAATATTTTGGGCCATGACTGTACAGTCAGTTGAGTTTTTCTGTGAAGATCAGCTCTTTCACAGAGAAAAAAACTAATATTTTTGCCTGAAATGTGCAGAAAGGCAATAATACATTCTAAATGTGATTGCAGCACAAGGCAGCGCAAATATGTTGCCATGTTTCAGGACATAGTCAAAGGTGCCACAACTGTTGCTCATGGGTAAGGACACAGGGGAAAATGGCAGAGATTTCAGGGATGTAGATTACAAAGAGAAACAAACTTCCCTAACTGGTAAAACACACTGGAAGTGAGATATAAATATGGTGTAAGCACTATTGAGGCGTGGTGCCATTCAATTCACACTGAAAGAGAGACATGATTATGTGCGCATTATGTTTGTTTAAAGTCATCAGAACAGCCTATTCCAGGTGGAGCCACAACACAAGTGTACTGTACAAAAATAGTTTTCATGTAAGATCATCAAGAAGATATCGTGTTTATGTAGCCTATTGATTTACTGATTTTTTCCGGCTCATTACAGAGGAAGAATGTGAACGTGAACTTCAAGCAGCTTGATCAGTTGTAAAAGATACCAGTAGAAACAGAAAACAATGGGATTTGTGTGATTTAAACAGCAGACTGTGGAGATTACATTTCACTAAACATAGCAGAGGGAGAAATTGGACATGAAGTGTAAAAAATGCGAGGGTTCTATGAGAGACACACATCTCAGGTGTTCAATGTGATATCTTTGATTTAATGGAATTTTACGTGCAGCATGTGATGTGCATTAGACACATTTAGAAAATGCTTCCAAAACCACATCTGGTGTGGATTACAGGCAAGCCATTCCATTGAGAACTGTGCTAAATTTGTCTGGAGTTTCCTAACAACACATGATCTCTTGCAACACTGACAAGCTGAACCACGTAAAGTAGAACACTGTGTACTGTTTGGTGTGAACAATAGCCCAGATGTTTTGTGGTTGGAGGAGATTGCACAAGATGTAATTATCTTACTGTCAGGTTTGCTCGGCCGCTCTGCCTCCCTCACCTTTCCTACTGTCTCTTGCCCATTAACACTAATCATGTTCACCTGTTCCTCACTCCCTTATCACCAGCTGCACTTGATTAGGTTCTCACTATATTACCCGGTTTCACTCCTCAGTCACTTGCCAGTTTGTTCTTGTCTCTAGGCCATTTTTTCTCTGTACTGTCTGTTTTTTTTTGTATATTATTATTCCCTAGCCAGCTCCTGTTTTGTGTTCCCCCAATGGACTGTTCCTCCAAACTGTGGCTCCACTCTCGCCTCCCAGGCAGGTCAATGCTCAGTCGCCTATCTGTTCTACTATTGTCATCATCTCTCTGTCTCCACCTTCAGTAGCCACCATCACCACCGACCAGCCCAGGAGTGACCCAGCCTACGCAGCTCGGCCCAGCTCTCCATCTTCTCACCTCCTACTGTTGGTCAACACCCGGTTACTACTTATCGACAGGACTACGCACTATTTCCCTCTGTGCATTTTGTTATTTCTCCTCATCACTGTACATAATAAATCACTGCTTGCATCGAAGTCGGCTACCTGGGTCTGCCTCTTTCTCGTTCGCTCACTGACAAGTGCAAACGGCACGTAACACTTACACGCATTAAATTTAGAGTAGTATGTAAATACTATGTTTGGCTATGTTTGGCACTCAAGCTGAATATAGCTGCTGCTGCTGTCAGACAACAGAAAGTATATTCTTGCTGTGGAGTTAGATGTACCTACAGTAACATACTGCTGTACTTCAACCAATGATAATTATTTTAGTGACCTCACTAACTCATTATTGCTCTGCCTTAGTTTGTTTCTGTTGTCCTGTTTGCCATACGCTGGTCCTTATTAAAGTCTTACTGTGCTAGTCACCATTACCCATTTCCTGAGGCTGCATTTGGGTTTTGTCCACAACCCTGACACTGCAGGGTTTTACCAGAGCTTTTCATCTGACTCCCACACAAATGAAGTTTTCATGACATGAAAACCAATATACATGTACCTGAATAACCTGTTGTTGCTTGCTACCTGATATGTGAGATTCCTGTAAGGAGGATATACAAGAAAGTAAACAGCTTTTCCCACATCCAGTCATTCTCTTGACCAAGAGATGTTATCTTTTCAAATATGTCCCATGTGACTGATTACATTTAATAAAATGTTATCACCAGTCATGTAAAAAAATGTCTTAAAAAGTGTAATCTTACAGCAAGAAAGTTCTGGGTTCGAGCCCAGGTTCTCTCTGAGTACTCCAGCTTCCTCCCACAGTCCAAAGACACACAGCTTAGGTTGACTGGCCATAGGAGTGAGTGTGGGTGTGTGTGGTTGTCTGTCTCTAAGTGTCAGCCCTATGATAGATTAGCAACCTGTCCAGAGTGGACCCCACCTCTCACCCAATGTCAGCTGGGATTGGCTCCAGCCCTCTGTGACCCTCTTCAGAAAAAGATAGATAATGGATGGATGGAAAGTGTAATTTGCAGCCTATTAGTGTCATCATAAAAATCCTGAAGCCCAATGATAAGGCCCAAATCTGATCAGCAGGGTCACATGCAAATGACAAACAACAAACACCCTGTACCAAACATAACCCGGAGCAGAAGAGAACAAAGCTCTTACCTCCAGGACTCGGACATAGCCTTTCTCAGCACTGAGGTGGAGGCAGGACTTTCCTGAGTTGTTGGTCTCGTTGACATTGGCCCCCAAACGAATCAGGTCTGCCACCATAAGGTGGTGGTTGTGCTTGGCTGCATAGAGGAGGGCGGTCTGGGAACACAAGGCCATTAACATTAAACTATGTATTGTCCAGTGACGACACAACTACATCGTGGACATTTACAGGTACAGAGTGTGTTCTATGTATTAGGGACGAACAATTATGGCAAAAATCTTAATGATTATTTTGGCCAATCTTGAAAGCATGTTTATTTAACATGATTATTCACTGACTTTGCAAACATCATGCATTTACTGAACAGTGGGGTTTCTTTAATTCATTGAATGATTGATATGATTCAACTGAAAAACAAGATTTTTATCTACTTAAATTGTGTTTGACAGTTCAGAGGAAATTAGGATATTACTCTGCATTTATTTTACAAACAAATCTTGCCTGTCATAACCTAAATTTGCTGCGCTCACCATGACACCACCCTACGTTCCTCTCTCCATCTTGTTTAACTGTTTTAGCTTGTTCATAACATGGTTAACACAAACCAGCAGCGCACGATGGACTGAGCAAAGCTGAAATCATTGCTTCTCTGTAAGATTCTGCTAGTTGAGCAAGGGTTTTGATAGATCACTCTTACTAACTGTTTGCTAGCAGGGGCTTTATTGAACGTACAGTAATGAGCTAAAGTGTTGTAACCTAATGTTCACCCGATGCAAGCAAAACATGCACTGTAGAGCACTGAAAGGGCATGCTGGATTTATAACAAAAGACAAAATGAGAATACAGCACAGGAGTCAGTTTAGCTCAATTATCTTGTTTTCATAATTGTTGGAAGCCAAAATTGTAATTTAAAATAAAATTTGATGAATTACTGAGCCCTACCACATATTTACTATGATGTGATCCAGCCAATGTAAACAAACCATAGCAAAGGCTGTTGAAAGGCAGAAAGTGGAAGGTGCATGTACTTTGTTTTTATCTGACCTTTATTAAGATCATCTTAATATATCCCTTTATACTAGTTGATCTCAACCAGGAATTGTACATATAGCATTAGCATTAGAGTACTGTTTGTCCAGAATGTTCTATAATCTGCTTTGTAAAACCACTAGAGGTCATTGTGTACTGCCAGCTTTCTTCTATGAGGGCATGCACAAAAATCTTTGCTTTTGTGCCACAGTTATATAATGTATGTAACGTGCTGCAGTTTGATGACAGTAACACAGATAAATAATAATGAAAAGGACAGATTTATATCCAAAAACTAAAAATGTACTGTACCATTCCATCAGAGTCCTTGAGGTCCAGGCTGTTGAGTGCAGCCATCTTTTTAGCAATGGCGTAGCCCAGTGCCCTCTTCCCGACACATGCCACCTTATGGAGAGCTCTGCAGGGACAAGCACAGTCCAACAGATTTAGACAAAAAACATGCACACAGACAAACTAAACATTTTACACTACATGCATTTACTGGCACAAAGAGGCAGCACACAACTTGATAAGATGATGACAGGTCTGAACCTGGTTTATATGAATAGAAAGAAGTGTTTTTTAAAGTAAGCTGAGAAAGTGCTACTTAACATAAAGAAGCCTGCGGCTCAAGCTGTAAAACAACCGGCCTTTTTCTCAGCAGGCATGTTGACTCGTCACAGCCAGAAAAGCACATTGACAATGACTCCATTCTTTATCAGACTGGTTTTTGAACTTTTAAGAGACACTGAACACAAACATCTGCTGCCTTCAAGATGACTTCTTTTCCAGGGACACCCATGCATATTTCAACAAGAAAATGCAAAACCTCACACTGCCACATTACCAAGGCCTGGCTGTGGAGGAAAAGGGTATGAGTGCTGGACTGTCCCACCTGCAATCCCAACCTGTCCCCAATAGAGAATGTGTGGAGCATTTTGAAATGCAAATTGTGTCAACAAAGACCCAGGACTGTTTGCACCTTAAAACTTGTTTACAGGAAGAATAGGACAAAATTACAATTAACACATTTAATCACCTGGTGACCTCAGTCCCTAAATGTCTTTTAAGTGAAAAGGAACAACAACATCACACCGTGGTAAACAACTTTTTTTTTGGAATATGTTGCAGCATCAGAATTGAAATGAGTGTTTATTTTGAACAACGAATAAAATTATTGAAGTATCACATCAAATAATGTGCTGCTGTGTTGTTTTCAATGTAATACAAGACACAGATGATTTATAAATTACTATTTTCAGTTTAAATTTTGATTTTACATACTGTCCCAAGTTTTTCTGATTTGGGGTTGTATTTATTTTGAAGAAGGGAGAAGCTTTCAGAGGAAAAGAGCATCACAAATGAAATTTAAAGAAAGCCAGAAAACTGACAAAAACCATAACCATAAGCAAAGCTGAAGATCAACTTGGCCGACTCTGGCACAAGTGAAGCTGTTAGCACATTTTGTTGTAGTTCAACTCAACTGCTGACAGTTTAATTATAAGCTGGATTTCCATCACCCTGTTTTTAAGTATTGCATCAGTAAAAGGTGATGGAAACGCCAAAATAAAAGTTAAAAAAACGGCGGATGAAACACAGTTCAAACATGGGGTCTATTTTAGCTAATAGCATCTTTCTAGTTTCCCATAACCCGTGAAACAAACATGGCTGACAACAAGTTAGTGTGGACCAAGGAGGAGATCAAAACAGTCCTCGGTCTCATCCAGGAAACAAACAAACAAACAACAACAACCCCCTCTCTCCATTTTCTCTGTTTTATCTCAAGTTTATAACCTCTACTTCTTTACTACTTTTTTTTTATCTCAGCCATGTGATGGTAGGTTGCCTATACCACCATCTTCCAACAAAACTAGCATAGTTTATTCTTTCCAACCACTTGATGGAAATGTACATAATTAGCATTTTTTTTCTTTTTTGCAAACTTTCAAAGGATTCACTTCACATTTAGATGGTAGCAGTGGCTAATGTACAGTGGCCTCAAGCTACTAGTGTCAGTCTGAGAGGAGGAGCAGGCTACAGAGGCCTGGTGAGCTCACTTCTTTCAAACTTTATTTGCTGAACATAAAAGCCTTTATACAACTTTTTCCACAACTCCCAACACCTGTAAATAGATCATGATATATAAAAGTCACTGGAGTCTGTCTTTAGTTGGTTTGTGTTGCATAACTCCCACACAAACAAAGACACACTTGCGCCAAACTTACGTTCTGCCGTGTCCATCGGTGGCCAGCAGTACTGCATCAGAGATGTACCTCAGCTGGCTCTCCTCTTTCTGCAGCTGGGTCCAGAAGAAATCACAGCTGTTCAGGTCCCAATCATGGTTCTGAGGAGGAAACCACTCCTCCGCCATTCCAACCTCTCTTCCCATGTTTGCAGTGCTGGATTGCTGAAGGCTGGTGTACAAGAAGCCAGGAGGAGACAGGGCCTGGCGGTACTCTGCTGCACCTGGCGAGTAGGTCATGTAGTACTCGGGGCTGGGGATCATTTCATCGGTCTCATCACTGTTGTACCCTGCACCTGGGTGAGAAAATATGGCATGTGAGCAGAGGTGCTAATAGTTGTTGCTAACATATTTATCAAGGTCACATTGTATGGAGTAGCTATATAAATATGGATCTGGTTCTCATGAATTACCAGAAGGACACCACTCAGGAGACACAGGAGGGTCAAAGGAGGACAGCATCTGGGAAGGGGAGTGGTAGTTGTTGCTGGACCTGAGATCCTCCTCCAGTACCTCGACAATGATCGCCAGCTCCTCCAAGCTTTTTGTTGGGCGTCTTCCCTAAAGACCCACAGACAGCCAAAGTATACAGCTATAAAAACTGGTCGCCAAAACTCATGTGTGATTTCTAACACTCCGTAAACCTGCCATTGAAATAATGCACAAGGAACGTTGTGGGAGGAGCTATCTGTATTTTTCAAGTCTCACCGTGGTAGTTCTGCATCCTGTGCGAGTTTTGACTCGTTTCTTGTCTCCTGTGGAAGACAAGTCAAGCTTAAGCCTGAGGTTTCCACAGTAGTAGAATATTTGTCTTAAAAGCTGAGACAGAGTTTAGCTGGCATATTGCAGGCTGGTTAGCTTTTGGTATTCCCAGTAACTGTTTAAGGAGAAACTAAAGTTGGAATGATAGCACACCTAAATTACTGTCATAGATCTGGATTTTACTGACCTTTGACCCTTTTGCTGCATGCCTCCTGCATTCACACATTAGTGATATGTGAAAAGAAAAACAACAGTTTCATCAGCGCACATGGTTTTCTAGATGTTTTTCAGACATAATCACATCACAGTATGGCTGGGTAGGGTCAGCACATATCTATGCCAAGCAGTGTAGATATTACGTCTAACAAACAAAAAGAAACAGCTTGATGTCTTGAGTTGGTGGTTTGATCAGCCTCTGGTTACACCAAATCAGTGCATCAAAAAGGCCCACTGTTAGTGGTTGTGAAGGCAATGCCTCAGCTACACTAAAACAATTTGTTCTTAAGTTGTTGTGAAATTTCTTCCTGAGCAAAAAGACTGTCATTAATCATTCAACAGCAACAACTCATCAACATGTAACCTGTCAGAGGGAGTTTTATGAGCTGGTCAAACTTCTAAACCTGAAACACTTGTGCAATTTTTTTTAATCAAATTGCCAACATTTTTAAAATCTATATGGTTACCAAAATGCCACAGTCTGTCCTCATATCCTGCACACTGTTTGATGTTTGCACAAAGGACAGAGAGGAAGGAACAAGGACCTGTGCAAGTTCACTGGATACAACCAGGTAAACCAAGTGTAACAATGCAATACTGAAAGTAGCCTAATTCATCAAAGTTTGTATAAACCAAACCAAAACCCAGGGCAATATGTGTCTATATTTTGATTAATAATTCTCATATTGATCAGTATCTTTGCCATCATCAACTACTGAATGAACACAGTTACCTGAGAACCCTGAGGGTCCCAGCCTTGGGCTAAGCGAATGTTTCTCAGTAGGTCCCTTACTGGCATTTTGACACGTACTCCGAGGTAGACCTTCTCACCACCATAAATAGAGCATCTCGCACCTAGAGGGGAGCATGGGATGATGAAGCCTTATTACAAAATCTAAATACACAATCATAACACACAGTTGTTTTTTGATGTGACACAACACTAGATGGAACAGACAAACTGTTGTGTCTAATGATCATTTTTATTCCCAGTGCCCCATGCCCATTGGACTGGGTCATAATGGGACTAATGTTATGTGCTCTAATACCAGCATTAAGATGACAGGAACAATTATTCTGCTTTCACAAAGCATTATTAAAGGATATAGCTGGTCACTTTCTATATTAACGGTATTTTCAACAATCCCCATGCAGAGAATAAAACCTCTACTCACGATTAACAAATATCAGGTTCTGGAGTTTTCTAATGAAGAAATGTTGCCCAGTGCAGTGGTGTGTTTCACTGATGTGCTTTTAATTGTTTTTTAGCAGTGGAGGTCTATGGCACAAATGAATTCCCAGGACTGACAGACTGATAGAAGTGAAAAGTGAGCACAGGCAAGTCATTGTTGGTTTTAGTCTCTGTATGGGGATTTCTGTTCATACTGTTAATAAAGAAAATGACTCGCCTTATCCTTTAATATGATGCGTTCTCTGACTCTGAGCTGTAAATTCAATTAACTGAACATGATCAAGCTGGATCAACAGAACTGTGCTGAGATTAGTAGCCTCCTACAAGGATCTGTATAGGTGGATCTTTGCAGAGCTGTAATTGACATCAGCATGACATTAGTGACATAAGGTTACCAGGCAATGCAGGAGCAAAACAAATGATAATCTTTTGCCTGTGTTTTAAAAGTCTGTTACCAAAAATGGTGACATGGTCTCATATTTTAATCATGAATGCTTATCTCTCAATATGTGCTCAAGCCAACAATTTTAAGTTTTTTCAGCTGAAGCAGAAAGTACAGTAGACTGAGTTCAGTGACACTGTGTTAAGGTGCTTGTGTGTTAATGGTACATTTCCATTTTATACAGCTTTATCTACTACATTTCAGAGAAAAATGTTTTTTCCACCACTACATTTACTTGACAGGTAACATTATAGTTATTGTACTTCATTTACTGATGTACCACTTAGTCAGTTGGCAGTTTACTTGGTAAACCAAGCTAAGACAACAGCTCGGCAAAAATTCTTAAATTAATAAAACTTAACGGTCAGTTTGTTTTAACTTCTGTCATATATGGTCTATGTTTTGGAGGTTTTATTTTGTAGTGCTGCTGGATGTGTTTCTAAGATTCACCTTAAACAAGAATACTGTAACATTAACACAACTTTATTTGTAGCCTACTATACTGTATGTATCTAAAATATAAACTTGGACAGTTTTATGTAGCTATAGTATATGGAACATAAATATCATAACTTTTATTCTACCTGACCTAACGAGTTAGTTTAACGCATTTAATTTCCATGAGATGTGTATTTAACGTTACCTTTCCTATAGAAGAGGGCTATACCTTTTTCTTGTATTAACGCATTTAATTTCCATGAGATGTGAATTTCCCAGTTACACAGGCCAAAACACACCCACATACTTATTCACCCACACACACACAAACACAATGCCACTAAAGTTGTTGCCAGAAATGTTCATACCTTTTTTATGACCACAAACATCCTGGACAGCCACAACAGGGACAGGTGTGTCGGGCTTGGCCGAGGCCTCCGCTGTTTCTCCTGGCAGAGGAGCGAGCCCGGCGGCGAAATCTGTTTGTTCTTTTGGGCCCTTTCTTTTAAACCGTCCTCTCATGTTGTACAACTACTGAAAAAGAAAAAACGTTAGAGTAAACTAAAACTAAGTTGGAGCTGTTACCTTAACCCTTCCAGTTTTAAAAGTTCAAAATAAAATACTAACCCAGTTCCTGTGGCTGGGCTCAACCTCTTCAGCTCTACCTCAGGAGTGCGGTGGCCTCAGTAAGTTAGCACCTGTCCCACAGACTGACAGATCTGTGTATTGTATCTGACTGTACCTAAGATGAAACAGCCACACCTGGTGCTTCAGGGAATTTGTTCAGTCAACATCCATGCCCACACTGTCATAAAAATACCTGCACTTGCATAGCAATGTTAACACTGCAGTTCACATTTAACAAATACTGTAATTATATGTTCAATAATATCCTGAATTTAGGCTAAAGGCTTGACAGAAATCTGACCCAAAACTGCTCTCACCTTGGCAGAGAGATGCATTTTGCATAACTCAGGCCACCATAGGCCTAGGTATATTTGACTATCACTATATTTACTTCTCTCAATATATGCATGTTGGTTGAAGCTACTGTAAAAAATGATCAGCCTTACGATATATAGTACATGTGATATAATACAAATATAAAGTCACTTGCCAGCAAAAAAAGCCACTCAGCTGAGTTTATTAGCTGAGACCTGTCCTAAATAAAACAATTCCATCAGGGCTTTTCTCAAGGACAAGACTGAGAATGTTATATTTTTGTGGTAAACATTTATTATCATCTGACTAAAACAGTAAAGAAAACAATTTAATTTGCATTTCTTTATAAAGCATTTGGCCGACTTGAGCACTGGCCTAAAAAATGGGCCTGTTGTGTTACTTGTCAGTTGTGAGACATCTGACTTGCTCAGTCTGAACAGACATTTTCAGTGTCAAACAGAGCCACCTGTTGGATACAAGGAGCTATAAACGAGATTCTGCTCTGACAAGCAGTGGTGGAGAAGGTTCTCAGATTGTAAAATATTCTGTTACAACTAAAAGTCTGGCATAAAAACATTACATAAGTAAACAAACAAAAGTATTAGTATCAAAATTTACTTAAAGTACTAAAAATAAAATTACTCATTATGCAGAACAGCACATTGCACATGAATGTATATCATATTAGTGGATTATAATTATTGATGTCTTACTGTGCACATCACATTTTATGTTGCAGCTGGTAAAGGGGGAGCTAGTTTTATTAACTATTTTATAATTAGAATAACTTAAAATCCTGATGGGTAGCTTGTGAATTTTCCACCAGGAATCAACAGTCTTATGATTACAGTGTATGTGGTATTATTAATATGATTATGTAAAGTAACTACTACTGTAAGTTATCAGATAAAAGTCAAAGTATGAAGTAGCAGAGAATGAAAATTCTAAAGTAAAGTACAGATACCTGAACACTGTAGCTAAGTACAGTACTTAGTTACTTTGCACCACTGCTGACAAGTAAAAGAGAGGCCCAGTATTGAGACCAGTGTGAACAGGGTGAACACTGAAAAGGTGCAAGTTTAGACTGTATAATTGCTAAGGCTGTACAAGTCAACAGTGTCAGGGAGTATGTAATTTAACTGGTAGTTCAACTATATTCATAGTTGTGTAGTTACTAAAGTAGTACAATGACATTTTAGCCTTTTTTGTAGTTAACTACTGCAAATACAAATCATGTTGGGCCATGAAAAGAAAGGACTTATTTTTATTTTACCATTGCTTTTCTAACCCCAACCGCCTTTTGGATAGGAACTTGGAGAGACTGTTATGGTTAGTCCCCCTCGCCAGGAGGGTGAGGGAGAACTATGGGGTAGGACTCAAGATAGCCTACCCAGGGCTAGTACACAAAAAAAAGTTTAATGTAAGATAACAACAACGTAACAACATAACAGTGTCCATAATACATACAAGCGAAGGGGAGTGATGACGACGGAGACCAGGACGAACAGGTGCACACACAAACTAACGGCAGGAAACAGGAGTAGAGGACCAGGGAAGACAGGCGAACAAAACGGATATCCACGGCACAGGGACTGTCAGCCGGGAAATCAAAAGGACGTAATTCAGGTAAGTACTGTAAAGTAAGTTAGGTCATGCTCTGGCAAAGACGGATCAAAAATATGTGGTGTGGTGGGGTGTAGTGTGAAGAGCGTAGCGCGTAGGGTGTGTGGAAGAATCAAGCCAAAAAACGCACAGTATCTGTCAGCGTAGCAGTCTAACCACATTTGTCCGCGTTACTATGTTAATGTTAGTTAAGTTAATGTTCGTTATTGATAGTTAATGTTCCGGCCAGCACGGAGCGTCTGCCAGAGGTTTATATAAGGAGAAGGTAATCATCGGGATGCACCCCAGCTGTGTGCGTAGACAAACCAGTTACTAATTACTGGAATGCAACACAGCTGAGGTGCAGAGCCCATGTGACGGAGAAAACAAAGAAACAAAACGGAGGAGAGGCAGCGGCCACCGAGCGGCCCTGACAGAAGTCTATTATTATTTCTTTTGTATTGTTTATGTTGAGGATGAGGTCATTCTCCTCTCCATAAACAAGAATGTTGCTCACCAAGCTTCTGTAACCCAACTCGTCTCCCCACTTGATGAGGCCCAGGATGGTGGTGTCATCAGCATATTTAATGATGACAGTGTTGTCATGGTTGGAGACACAGTCGTGGGTGTACAGGGTGAAGAGTTTGGGGCTGAGACAGCAGCCTTGAGGTGAGCCTGTGCTGATTGTGAGCTCAGCAGACACCCGCCCTCCCATTCTGACCACCTGTGGTCTTTCAGTCTGGAAGTCCAAAATCCAGTTACAGGTGGGAGTCGGGACCCCAAGGTCTGTCATCTTCTCAATCAGCCTACCCGGGTGGATGGTGTAATCCAGGAAGAGCATCCTAGCATACGCACTGCTGTTGTCCAGGTGCTTCAGGGAAAAATGTGCGGGGAAAACATTTCAATGAGGAATTCTAAATAAGAGGAATTGTTTACAGTGCCAGCTGGTGCACATCAAACATGCAGTAACAACATGCACTATGGTTAACTGATAGGAGAAGCTCAGACTTGTTGGCAAACTCAGCTGTAACCATGTCTCAGAAGAAGAAACTGCCTATAAGATCATTGTTTAACAGAAATACAAGTGAGCTGCCTGTCTCGTTATCTGACAATTCCATGTGGCAGCCTGACAGTGGATATGGTCAGGTTAAATAGGTCACAATTTAATTACTGCATCATATGAAGCTGTATTGTGATTTTTAAATGCTTAGAAATATGTTCAGTCTGATCTTGATTTAATAAACTGTCATCAAACCAAACTGTTCAGCTTCTACTCAGGGTCCAAACAGCTGATGGTTTAATGGCATCCTTCTATACGATAAGGAGAGTGAGAACATGTTGATCTCCATACTGTTACTTAAATTTGGTGTGTGAACATGTACCTGGGCAGCGTTTCCCATATAAAGCATCATCAGATCAGTTTGCTGCTGTATCTGAGCTGACCAGGCTCAATATGAAACTGCATCAATACATTCACAGCCATTGTTGATCTGTCAGATATTTAGTCTGCGTCACCTCTGCACAGATGTCACTGAAAGATTCTTCACATCCTGCTCACCAAAGGCTTTTGTGTCTCTTAATTAATACTTCAGGTATTAAATCAGTTCACATTGTAGAGCAGGACTGTCACAGACTGTGCCGCCTACGGGAACTATAAGTAATATACTGTACGTTGACTGTGTTCAGCTCCTCTGACTGATAAATGTCACCATCATCCACACTTTCATTCTGTTAACATAACAAACCTTCATAGTGCAAAGACCAACAAAGAAACTAACAAATGCAGCAACTATACAAGAAATTATTCATTTCTATAAAAGGTTGTGTTGTTGACCCAACATCTCAACCAATCAGCTCTCAGATCAGGTGAGAACCAGGCATTTCCCATCATGCCCTGCGCTCTTGCAGTCGGTGGAGAGCAACTGCATCGCGTGGCTCCAAAACCTGATACCACCTCGATCCTGTGAGAATATTGTTGTCCACATAGGTGTTACATCAGAGCAAGTCGGGATCAAGTTGGACAGAAGACTGACCAGCACGCATGGTGTGCTGATCGCCAGTGAGCGAATCTGCACACACTGGGGTCATCTCGAACATGCCTGGTGCCTTCCTTAACGGCCAGGTGGCAACAGACCTTCCTGCTCCTGTCCTTGGCCTCCAAACCACTTCTTGTGATAGTTGCACCAGTCTGTATAAATCCTGTCCCTTTGCTCACCAGTGTGTCAGAGCTGTGTGTTTCTAAGTACTTGAAACATGTGGTAACTAGGCTACGCTGGCCAGTTCCTGTGTGAGCAATAGGTCTCTTCAGTGTGGGGACTTGAACTGCCACTTTTGTTTCAGTTTCGTTTCCTTAGACTCTGTCGGTCTAACAAATGAGAGAACGGCCTGACAATGTGTGGTGTTTCCTGTTCACATGTTTTGCAGATGTCCTGAATCCTCATCCTGACAGCTCACATTATAACTATGCAGTTAAAATATTAAATGTGTGGCGCGTCAGTTCTTGCAGTTTG